AAAATAATTTTTTGGGCTTTGAAAATTGTGCTTTTAGAGACCTTCACGGGCAACTGTTTAGGTCAAAAACAAGTTTTAAAGATATTTTCTGATTCAGTTGTTCAAGCTAAACAAGAATATGCCCTTTTCGAGTATCTAAGTAAATTCATAAGTCCACGAATTCAATTTTACAAAAAACGTGGAAAAAACAAGTTTTTTCGATTTTTTGAACTGAAGGAAGCTTTGAAATAACTTGAAAAACATATATTCGTGATCGCCATAAAATTCTGTAGCAGATGATGTGTGAAAGACGAAAATTCATAATTTCACTTGAAGTTCGTCTTGCGCTAACCTAAGTTTGTCATTCTTGATTTCTAGTGGTTTCCAGTGATTTCTAGTACCAGAAATCAGTTTTTTGCCCTTGTGCTTTGTTTGCATGGTTCATGTTATAAAAGTAAGTTCTAATGTCTGTTTGGTGGGTGAAAGGTTTGCAAGAGTTCCCATAGAAATAACGTGCACACATAATGTTCGAAACCTCTTGGATTCGAATAATAACATAGGTTTGGGAGTCCAAAAGTTCTGCGCACCATTTTATAAGGCTTCGAACAAAGTTTTTTTTTGCGGAACCTATGCTACCAAACCTTTTGATGTCTAGGACATATCAGCTTCGTACCGAACCTTCACTACGAAACCGTTTGCTCATGTTTTTCGACTGATATATATAACGCGAAACCTTTTCCTTACCGAACCATAAAAGGTTCTTTCCGTGTACCGTGGGAGGAACCTTTTTTGGTTTCGTAAAAAGCCCTTTTTTTTAGAATGTATTGAATCAGAAAGATATACCTGAAACACCGCTGTGTGTCAAAATGGAAATTCTTGATACGCGTATTGAATCGGAAAAGTGATGTCTGAAACAGCGCTGTATCACAAAATGGAAATTCTTGATACGCGTATTGAACCGGAAAGGTGATGTCTGAAACAGCGATGTGTGTCAGAATGGAAATTCTTGATATGCGTATTGAATCATAGAGTGAATCAAGACGAAACAGTGCATCACATATATATGTTATAATGCCATTGCAGTGGTAGTACGCACAGTCAGCTGGGACTGAAGCCGCCTTTTGATGGATATGTTCATACACGAGAACACTATTGTCGGCCTCAGCAGTGTTACTATCTCTACACCATCTCGATAAATTCGACATATCGAACATAATCGTTTATATTGCGTTTGTTCGTGTTGCTGAGACCAAAGGGTGATATAAGGATGATGTTGCGGATCACCATGGAAATAGTTGACTTCGGCCAGATGGTTGCGAGATTCGATAGTCATGGTGGCCAATGGTGACGATTTCTGATATAAAAGCAGCTAAAACTAATGTTATTACGCTTTATTTAGTTTCTTCAAATCATCAATCGCATCGTTCTGATGAAAGCACATGTTTATGTATGTAAGCATTAGAGAAAATAAAGGAAGAAGAATGAGAAGGGCATGAGCACAATAGCAACGACGATCATATAGATACAAAGGAATAGTAACGAACTGTTAAATGTCCCCCATATAATGTACTTCAATCGAACCGTTACAGATTGTTTTGTAAATAGTTTTTTTTGCGTATAGCTGAATGAATTCATTTTATTCATGAACCATTGCTGACTTGTACCGCGCCAAAGTTCCGATTCGTGTAGCCATCTCTGTAGGCGCAACAGTAGCTGTTGCATGATGGTCTTGTGAAGTCATACATAATATTTTCCGCTTGAGACTTTTACGCAATCCAGGATACTGGCTGAGGCATATGAATGGAAATAGAAAAATAACAAAATAGCCTAGAAAAAAGAAATAAAGTTCGGGTTGAACGCCATATTCTGGTGGTAGACCAAATAGATGAGCAAGCGGAATAAGATAAATGGGAAGATTAAAACTGATATTTAAAACTGACATTAATATTAGTTGAATGGTAAGTCGACGTTGTTTGCGCCATTCAACAGAACGTCGAAGGCGTTGCTTTTGCCATATAATACGCATAATAAATAAGATACTAGCAATACCTTCGACAAGGATTGGTGTAGTAGTATTGAAAATAAATTCCCACATACCCAGAATACCATAGTTATGATAACATGGAGATGCGTTGCATATCGGCAACTTGTAATCATACGTATCTTCACAATTTAGAAAGAAAATGACAATAATATAGAATAGTAGAATATATGTGACTATAGTAGCCATAGGAAGATAATGGAGAAATAAACGTCCTGTTAAATTCGCAATCCATTGTTTATGAAATACTAAAATATGCCGCTCAATGGCCAGCCATGCCATCACCATGATGCCTCCAATATAGAATCCATAATCATTTAACCACCAGATGAGGCATACAATAGGTTTTGGTGGTTGTACAGAACCATAATGAAGAAAAAGAAGATGAAAATTGATATCAATGATTTGAACTGGCAAGTTAAATAGAATCACAATAAAAATGGCATGATTATGCAATGCAGATCGTCGTCTTCGATTCATCATGATATGCATAATGATACAGAAATCGCAGATGACCGATGGAACATTAAATAGAAGCATAAGCCAAAACCGAATTGGGCGCGGTAGAGAAATTTCCGAATGGGCAAAGGAGCCATCACCACCATTGGTAGCATTATTTGTGAGCATTGTCGATAGTAAGAATATACTACGATAAAATGATAATACTGACACCTTTTTATGAGAGAAAATAGTGTCCAACAATCTTTTCCACAAGAATCTAAATGAGTTAAACAAAGCCGACATGATATGGGCACTTATCGACTCGATTTCTTATCCAAAAGGGATATATGTCTTGATATCTCTCTTTCCATTTTGTTGCGAAGTACATGGTCACCATGCTGATGTTTTACATTTGCCTTTCTACAGTTTCAAACCACTATCGCGAGCGAAAAAGAATCCGCAATACAACATAATTGTTTCTAAAAATATCAGTGTTTCCCAGGCAGAACTTACTTGAATTTTCAACGAAATATTTTTCAAGTGATCGCTCAAATAGTTTATGACACATTGTACTATTCAATTTTAGTGGGATAAAATATCCAACTATTTAGGACAGTCCAAAGGTAGCTGCGAAGATTCGATAGTTTCTTATAAAAGGCTTCCTCTCCATATAATTTGATAGAGAAAAATAATAAACTTTCGATAAGATTTATTTCGTTGGTATACGTGCTGGCTGTGTTAGATCATAACGAGTACGGTAGAATAAATGCGTGCACTTTACATTTCAATTTTTAATCACTTCGTACATTGTATTAAAACAACACAATATACTACACGATTCAGCGTGAGCAGCTGTACATTTTACATAAGATCACTTATGCTGTGTATTCATCTTTTGTTTTCAAAATGTAATAGTAGTTGAGCAACCGACTTTTGATCGTGTAAAAATGGTAGCTTTTTAGCGCATGACAAATTCATTTTCTTATTTCTCAACTATTCTGATATCGCTTGTTAGAGAAGACGCACACGAGTTATTCAATACCAAATCACAATCGATAAGTACTCCTAATTAAGAAAAGAAATGAAATCTGAAGATCTTCGAAAAGTGATCGCATAGAATTATATCCATTTTGAAAATAAAAGGTGGATACACAAAACAAGCGGCCTTATGTAAAGTTTACAGCTGTTAACGCTGAATCTTGTGGTATACTCTGCTTTATAATACAATGTATGAAGTGATTAAAAATTGAAATATAAAATGCAAGCATTTATTCTGCCTCATTCGGTATGATCTAATAGCATAGAAAAATAGAGCATTCTTTTCTCTATCAGATTATATAGAGACAAAAGCCTTTTAGAGGTTTCTATGAGAAACTATCAAACCTCCGGAATTACTTTAGCCCTGCCATAAGTACCAGGTGTCCCAAAAATAACCGACCAAAAATAAATTAAATATCTCCGTTACAACTCGAGTAAACGTTGATGTTTTTACCAGTGATAGATGCATGTACCAACTTTATATCCATAAAGCCATAACTAGGGAAACCCTTTGCTAAGTATCACTATTCATTCTAAATAAAATCCGTTTTCTGGGGAACGGATAGGAGGTGTCCGGGTTTGTCACAATATGAAACCCTTTATAGGTTTCCGGGAAAGGGTTTTCGAGCATTTGGAAGCTTATCTGAAACCCTCACAAGCAATCAAGCAAGCTGGCGATTCTGAACACCTAATGAAGGTTTCCGATACTTCCGGAACCTTTTAAACGTTTTCCACTGCTACAAACCAGCAACCGATTTACATAAGTATCCGACATTGTCAAATTGGTTTTTCGTTTTGAATAGTATTTTAACAACAGGTATCTAAGGATTCTAAAATCCATCATAGTCACGAAGTCTCCATGAATCTAAAAGCTCAAAGTCATCAATTCAGGCTTGCTCAAAAGGTCTCCATCTCCGTCAATACTATTGTCTTCAAATTTAGACTTCCGATGTCTGTTCGAATTAGGGATGCACCAATTCCAAGTCCAACCAATCCAATTCCAATTCTTGGCTTGGAATTAGTCGGTATTGATTCAAATTGGAATTGGAATTGGAATTGGTTTAGAATTGGTCTGAAACAGGTATAGAATTGGCTCTAAATGAGTGTAGAATTAACTGAAATTGATGGTACAATTGATTAGTCTTGACTAGCAAGTGCTTTAATTTGCCAAAAATAAAATAAAGAAAGTGGGACGTATAAGGCCTGAAATCTTAAAATTGAAATTTTTATCACAAAAGCTACCACTTGAGCCACAATTAATAACATATTTGGAATCAGCGCAAAAAACTGACTCTAACAATTTATATTTTAATTACCTTCGGCAACTCTTTTTTTTCTACCGAAAATTCAACTGGGGTGCCCCTCAGGGTTCAGTCAAAAAAAGAAACTAATCAGAAAGCAACGTGGACAGCAGTAATTAACTATGGAGCATGTAAAATGCTTAGTAATATAGAAAAAATCGAGTGCCTGAGGACTGGAAAAAAGTCATTTTGTATTATTGGACTGAATCCTGAGGGGTATCCCAGTTGAATTTTCGGTAGAAAAAAAGAGTTACCGAAAGTAATTAAAATATAAATTGTCCGAGTCAGTTTTTTGCGCGGATTCCAAATATGTTATTAATTGTGGCTCAAGTGGTAGCTTTTGTGATAAAAATTTCAATTTTCAGATTTCAGGCCTTATACGTCCCACTTTCTTTATTTTATTTTTGGCAAATTAAAGCACTTGCTAGTCAAGACTAATCAATTGTACCATCAATTTCAGTTAATTCTACACTCATTTAGCGCCAATTCTATACTCGNACCGTCGTCTATTGAAACACATATTTCAAATATTGTAGTATTCATACATTGGAAATGAATTTATTCCAATTCCAACCAACTCCGACCAATTCCAATTCCAACCAACTCCGACCAATTCCAATTCCAACCAAATCCGACCAATTCCAATTCCAACCAACTCCGACGAATTCCAAGAATTGAATAGACTCGAATTGGAATTGGTGCATCCCTAGTTCGAACTCTATAGTACCATACTTTCGCTATCTATAAAAGTCAGGATGCTTGCTAAAGTAAGAGACATCAAGTTCTAAACTCCCGAAGTCAGCGTTGAAATCAGTCTAAGCCTGAAATCATCCAATATTTAAATCTCATAAAGTCATAAACTGTGTAAGTTCTCCTAAGTCAAATTTTTGCGGTCAGTCGAGATCTGTATATATAGCATTCCGCCAGAATTCATTTTATAAACCTAAATGAAAAAAAAAGAATACATATGACTGAACAAGATAAACTCACCATTTCGTCTTCTATTCGGAAATCCAAATGCAGAAAAATAATACGAATAACTGAACAAAGCAAGGTCACCATATTATAATTCATTTCATAAGACTAAAGAAAGAAAGATAATATATCTTATTAAATACAGCAAAGTCGCCATATAATAATTTATTTCGTGGATCTAAATCGAAAAAAAAGCATATATATGATTGGAGAATATAAACTCATCATTTCGTCTTGTATTCGGAAATTTAAATGCAGAAAAAGAATATATTTTATTAAAGAAAATAAACTCACTGTATTATAGTTCTTTTCATGACTCTTAATGAAAAATAATATATTGTGAAACAAAATGAACATAAAAATCTGTACTTGACATATTTAGAATTATTTCTATTTCAAAAAATAAAAGTAAGATAAAAATTGATAATTTGTATATAATCTTTGAGTTGGCTTCTGAAATCATAAAATAAATTCATTTCCAATGTATGAATACTACAATATTTGAAATATGTGTTTCAATAGACGACGGTAATTAAAAAGTTATTTTTTTACAGTGTTATAGGGATGTCGCTCGCATACAAACTCTATATATCTATACACTCTAAAAAAAAAAGTTTTCCACAGAACCTAAAATGGTTCTTCCACTGGATACACGGGAAGAATCTTTTTTGGTTCCGTAAAACAAGGGTTTCTTACCAAACCCTACCAAAAAAAGAAGTGAGAAAATGGTTCCGCATTGAAGGTTCAGTAAACTACCTAAACATCCAGAAAGTCCAAAAGGTTCAGTAGCAAAGGTTCCGTAAAATACCGAAACCTCCCAAAAAAAACAAAAGGTTCCGTAAAACACCAAAAAATTCAAAAAGGATCCGTAGCGAAGGATCAGCAAAAACCATTACTTCGCTAGATAAGAAAAGGTTCCGTGTCCAATCCAACCCACAAGATTAACCTCACATCGTTCAAAAGAGTTCCGTGGTCAACCTGCCCCACTAAACCTAACTAACATTTAGAGCAGCAAGGTTCCAAACATGCATACAACTCAGGAATACAAGCCAGAGTCCTTACTCGATAGAGCAAGCAGCCACCATCATATCTTATCGCTAGAATGCAATTAAACTGGCAATATATATGATCAATTGAGAACGTCCCCAAATATCCCTCCATCGCCGATGACGTCCACCAAAAGCTAAACCACACGAACTCATTGTAAACCGAATTCAACACAATTCGACAATTTAATTGATAACCTTCTCAAAGCTAAATCCCTTGCCCTGCACCATAAACAAGCTGCCAAAATAAATGGTCCACATTTTAACCCACTCAGGCTATACTTTATTGAACCCACGTTAACGCGAATAATGTCAGGCAATCTTAAAAACAACGGAACAATCAATAGATTGAAACGATGAAAATCCAACTTATTTCTGTTCGCATTTTCAAGTGCATCATGTAAAGGATAAGGAAATAAAATAAACTAGTTGAAACGATGAAACTTGAACTCACTTGAACGTGGAAAATAAGAGATAATCTGAAAAAGAAGGAAAGAACCAAGAGGCTGAAACGATGTAAAGCTAACTTACTTCGGGTTTCAGTTTTCAAGAACATGATCTAAACGATAAGGAGATAAAATAAATTAGTTGAATGGATTAAAGTTTAACTCACTTTAACAGGAAAGTTCGAGTGCAGGTTGAAATAAAAGAAAGTGATGTATTGATTGTAACGTGGAAAATCTAACTTTCTTAGAGTTTGTTATGGGGAAGAAAATCTAAAATAGGTAATTGTCATATAGATGTCGCATCAGTCGATGGTGAATTTAGTTTAAAATTTGTTCGACTGCATTATGTATTGCATCAGAAAATATTCAATAGGTAAAAAGGAGGAAAATCGAGTGTACTTACTTGGAATTTGGGTATCAAATGTTAGCGAAAATAATACAGGTTGATATGTATGTTGCGTTGACTTCAGTCCAGTTCACTGTCAGTTTAATATTAGAAACGATCTGAAGTATAAGCGAGTGATATAAGTTAGCACATTCGACTAAGCGGATGACGTGTGGAATTTAAATATTCAGGACAGGCTAGAATATTTTCAAATGATATGTATGTGTAGATAGATGGGTTGGATTCATCGACGCGTATTTAGTTTTGATATTTAAGGTTTAACGACATTTTAGCGGCGGAGAAAATTATAAATGGATGCAAATGAGGAAAGTTGAACCTCTGTTGACATCTTTGATGATTGAGAAACTAAAATAGAAGGGCATGATAAAAGTCTTGGAGCTATGGAAGTGGAAGTGAGTTAAAAGCTGAATTCGAAGGCAACCAGTAACATAGGGAAATAAGAAATGGATTGCAATCATGGAAGTGTGGTCGACCGGAAATCTATATTTGAGTGACAATATAAAATAAAATACATAGGAATATTTTTCTGAGTAAGACATCCAGCTGAGCGCATGTATGGACGTAAGGCAGAAATTACAATCGACGAAGGTAATATTTTTATAGCATTGATGAAGATAGAGGCCACTTTAGGTTGCATTCCTTGCAATTAGCTAAAATAAAATAGCTTACCGTACCTGATCGGATGGTGAAAGTACCAGTCACTTTATGTATGAATTGAAACGAGAACCTACAACATAAGAAAAGAATATATATAGTGGATTTGTGTAAATCGAACTCACCTTAAGTGTGAAGGAGAACAAGCAGCTGACATATAATGAATGCATAAATATAATGAGGTTTGCAACATTTACAGTGACCTTCTGTTTGAATTGTAGACTGGGTGAAAAATATAAGAAAAGAAGGTACATGTTACAATGATGTAAATAGAAATCAAGTTTAGTATCAATGTGAATTAGGATGGCGATTATTAGAAAAGAATCAAAAGTATATTGTAAAGAAATTTAAACAAATTTGATATGAATTATTTCATATAGACTGAAAATGTGGAACGGATTAATATTATGTCGCCAAATTCAGATCCCTATGATTGAGTGCGTTAATGTAGTTGAAAAGGCGAAATTGAAATTAGTTACTACGTTTGCTGTGGTGAAAAATGGTGGGGTTGAAGTAGTATTTCAACGAATGGGGATCAGAATTTAAAAAAAACAAGGCTCGCAGTTTTGTCGTATATGTTTAGAGATTGATGTTTTATGTTCAACGGATTTGATGATAATTTAAAGTTTGATATGAATAATCACTGATGCGAGTAGTTAAGTTATGGTAAACAGACTGTGATGGAAGTATCAGTTTTATTGAGATTTGTTTCTGAAAGTACAATATTCTCCTCCTGAAAAGCACGTAAAAATATAATCAATATGTACAGGATAAAATTCACAAGATAGGTGAGAATAGAATTCTCAATTTAATAGTGGAGAAAGCTGAAAGTCAATAGTCTTGTATATATAAGTCATATAACTCGACTCTTTTTTCTGGTAAGTCGTGTTGGTTGTTTTGTAGCGATTTTGGCATCTGTGTTAGACGTTTGATACTTCGTACGTTTACGCTTGATAGTTGCATTATTGATTTGACTATATTCGGCTTCGTCACATTCTTCGGTACTGATTTGTGTTGATGGTAATTTCTGAATAGAAAAAATTTCGTTTGATTTATTCGAGTTGACTGTATACGAAGAACGTTCAACAGCGAATGGTGATGATGCTTCAGGTTGAGGAAGTATCGCCGATATAACTTGTGGTGGCGAAGTTGGTGTAGAATCAATATATAGATGATCAAGTTCATCTTCACTATCAGATGTTGATGCTTCACTATGACGAATACGATCTGTAAGTTGATAATCAGAGTATGGATCAATATTGATTGAAGCTGTAGTCTTTGCAAGAGAAAAATTATGATGATTATTATCATGTTGTTTGGTTGACGTATCATGAATCTAAAGACAAAACAAATTAACGCAATGATCAATTCGTGCAGTATTATGGTATTAATGTTTTGTTTTTTGTTGTCAAGAAAGGTTTACTGGAATTTGAATTTGCATATTAAACAATAGAATATAGATATATATAAATTCAACATGAAGTGGATATGCTATTTATTTAACTAGAGCATCAGGCGTGATTTATTTTATGGTTTTCACATGGAACAGGTAACTGATCTTATACTTAGGTTACGATTTTGTAATATTTCTCTCTATTTCCAAATTAAATAAACACTTACTTGATTTGAGCCATTGTATGTTGATGAGTTAACTTCATTTGTTGCTGGAGATTGTATCAAATCTGTAACCAAATCGTTAATCATTGTTTTCTTTGTAATACGCGTACGATTACTAATTTTATAGTTCCATCGATTTAATAAACATCGAAGACCTTTACTCAAGTGATGCATATCCTCCAATAGTATACCGTACAAAAGACGACAACACCTGTTGTGGTGATGAAATCGAATCTCAAAGACGTAGTACATCGAAATAAGTAAAGCAATAGCACGAGAACACGAGTTCGTTTGAGTTACAAGATGAAAGTCCAAATATATTTCAAACCTACCATCGAGTATCTTTACGCATGGGAGCGGCACCAGTACATCCTACTCATTAAATTTAAAAAAATGAACCCAAAGATCAATAGCTAATTTACGGTATGCGTAAGAACATTGTTCACTGTATCACCAAAGAACTTGCACAAAATTCGGATTATTCGAATAGGTAAGACATCTAAAATAATAAATATCATATTGTAACTTAGAGAAAAAGCTGTTATGAGTAGGGAAGCATATAAAAGACTAATCGCGTTTCAATTCGAGCAAAATATTTTTTATGCCGAGCTGTTGTGTAAAAACTAATATTAATCAGACAGTTATTTTTCCCTGGGTATCAAAACCATTTTAGTAAAAAATAGTAAAATCGATATTCATGATTATAAAGCGAAAAGGAAAAAGTTGCCTTATACGATTTCGTTTTTTAACTTGTATTTTTTTTTCATGACATTTCTCCAAATGCTTACCCGACGAAAAGCAGTCATTATCAGGTAAATGATCGAAGAATTAAGGCAATAATGCATTTACATTTTCTTCCATATCTATACCAACAGATTCGTTTACTTCAGCTAATATCTAAAGGACAAAAAAAGTTTCAATAAAAATATTCAAGAAGTAGATGATCTTGAGAATATAAGTGGATTTTGCTAGAAAATATCATTAAAATCATTATTTAGTAACTATTGTATAAAAGTGCACTAATGTAGCGATGCAAATTCCCATAATAAAAGAATAAAATTCTTTTCAATGATAGCGTAAATGAAAGCAGAAACTTGAAAATGAAACACTAATTTAGAAACACTTGGAATAATGGTTTTCAATCATCAAAAGACATGATATCTCAATGCAGTATGAACCAACTAAATTCTAAAAATTGTCAAAAATGCATTCCTAATCAATAAAACGAGTCGTTTGTGTAACTTTACAATAAATAATCTCTATTAGCATTAAGTTACACTTCAATACTCTGCATATAACAACGAAACACTATGGGTCTGATCTATACAATGAAGCGATGGAGAAATTGGTGTAACTTCTCCTAATCATACTGAAACATGCCAACTATCTTTAAGATGACTATGCTGTGTTAATAGCAAATACGGTGGTACAAAATTAACTTTCTTAGTAACTTATGACCGGAAAATCTTACCATTTCAGGATGAGAATAGCCGGGAAAACGTTCAAGTATTTCAGTAATCGTTAGTTCGCGAATACATAGACGACGAATGTTGAACGTTTGTCGCCAAAGATCATGAAGTAGATCTTTGTTAGGATTATCATTGAGCAACTCCATTTTCATTTGATTAACGATCGATCACAAATTTTCATTCCGTTTATCAGCTACATTTATCATCGACTGCGAATATACAATACGAATAATTATTCAAAAGAAATTCAAAACTTACTACATCATTGACTCGACGTTCAGCTTGTAAAATTGTGCTTTTTTTCTTTGGCCGTCCATTTGTTTTGCCTTTACCATATTTTTCTTGTTTTAATTGTACTAAGCTATTGCTCATCTGTACTGGTTTACGTTCACGTTTAAATTTCTGTTTTATAGATTCGTGCCAATCTTTCTACAAAGAAAAACTCAAATAATCGATCAAGTGCTTTCTTACTATGGATTCATGAACTAATGATGCAGGAACACATAATTTTTTTACTATAAATTTAGCCATAGTTTTATATTCATCATTGGTTGGGTAACTAAATTTAAATAATTAGCAATATGGAAAGTCCAATTAGGTGCAATAACTTGCAATAATTTATGTGATTTTGTTACATCATCATACAGAAGAGTTAGTAGTTCACTGCGCATAGCCGTATGTGGAAAAAACTTCGACAGATTATTATCATCAACGTACTGTTGCATTCGCATAGTTAAGTTTGGTCCTTCATAGTCTGCCGGCAACAGTACTGTAATACAGGTATTATCATTATCATCAGAACCATTGAGACTTGAAGGATCAGAATCAACTATTTGATTATTATCAGAATTAAGTTGTAAATCTTCATTTGAAGATGATGAGGTTGAAGTATCATTCTCCTTCGATACACCTACAGACTTGAATGATACTAGTGGTAACGTTAAATCAAATAAATTACTTGTATTTTCACTATTTTTTTCATCTTGTTCAATCAAGTTTGAGATTAACTTTGTACGTAAATCGACAAATTTGACGCGATCTTTGATTCGAGGAAATATTTGAATATTATCATTATGTTGAAATAAAGCTAATGTAGCACCATCGATATCTTCGTCTATAAGAAAGAGAGACCTACTATTTAACGCATAAACAAGATAACAGATGAAAACATGAACATCTACTATAAACAAAAACGATATCAAACGAAAATCAATTATGAACTTATGCATGAAAAGCAATCAAAAAGAATCGTTTTTTATCGTTTTGTTAAGCGAGTTAACACATTTATGTAGTTGGATTGTCCCACTAAATAACAGTCAAGACAATGTGGCAAGATATCAAAGCATCGATCTACATCCATTGAAATCAAAACTCCTGTAAATTCAACTTCATAAGACCATAGTTTATCATCAAAAGAAACTGTATTCAATTCTTCAGCAATAACAACCCATTTTCCCTTTATCTTCAACATATGATGTACTTGACAGAAAACGGGAACTTCTTCTGAATGAGCAAGATCACGAATAAAAGTTGCATTCTTTCTAATTTGGATGTGATGATAATACATTGAAGAACATTCACTTATGGAATCAGCTTGATCAATGCTCTTCATCAATAAACATCTAACGAGTAGTGGCAAGTCTGTTAAGATAATAGCTTTAGAAGATCGAATGTTTAAACCCAATGAAGAAAATGATTTTGAACTGCTCAATAAGCAATAACGTAATTGGTGTCGTTTTGACAGAGTGAGTAACGGATTTTTAAAGTTAAATGTACGAATAACAATTTGTTTAAAATACAGATGTTTAGACTCAAACCTGATACACGAATTCAAAACGGGAAGTCCATACTTGTTAATAGAAAGAGGATATTCAGTTATGAAGTGCACTTTAGGCGTTACACAATCAGGTAAATGTTCGACCATCAAAGAATGAAAACGTTTGCATAGCCCATCTAGGTACGATAACGACGAATTTCTAATTGGATTCCCAAAGATATAACTAATAATTTCTCTTAAAATAGAGTATAATGGAAATAAGGTTAGATCATCAATAATATAATGGAAAATTGTCGGAAATAGCCGGAAAAAACATAGTTTTGACTAGCAGAGCCGGTAATATTTGAGTGGAATACATGTTGTTTTTTGACTGGCGGAGGTTTATTCGAAGAGTCATAAAATCCGAAAATGAAAGATGAAGTACGCCGTTCAATTTGGGCATAGGTTAAAATGCGTTGTTGAACAGCTTCCTTCAACAAAGCACGTATAATTAGCGGACATACCCCTTAATGATAAAAAAAAAGAATATTCATAAATAAATGAAAAATTAAAGTCTATAAAATACAATCTCAAATGAAAATTACTACAATTTATCATCGAGGCGCGTTTGTTGATAAAAATGTAACCAAGAAAAATTTTAGTGGTAGCTACAACTTTCAGAAAAGAATCCATGACAATTATTCGAGTCTGTGCATCATTTAGAACTGAGCATATGAAGAGAAATTTCTCAGTATATTCTGTAGCAAAAAATGTTATCCAGATTTCTAGTTGAAATTCCTATGAGACATACTAAATATAATCGTCTAGAAATTAAGTGTAGCGAATAAAGGTCTTCAAATAATTTTAAAAAATTATAGTCGAATAAAAAAGTAAGTCGTTCTTTTTTGACATTATTAGTAGATACATTTACATTTGAACTCTTTACATTCTTGAGAAAAATATTATATTCATATGCATATTTAACATCGGTTATACTGAATAATACTGAATTATTGTTGATTTAGTGGTTCTTCTGTAGAGAATCCCAGTCTACCTGATTAAAATTGTCTTCTCTCTCATGTGTTAATGTATTACCTTCGGCTGTATCATGCATTAGATCAGGTGGAAGTGATTCAGTTGGATGAAAACCAATAAGATTTCGAAACCAACTATCACCACTGACACCAAAAAGTGTTTGACCATCATTATTAGATACAATTCGATCGACAATCAAATCATGCCTCAAGTGAGTTCGAGGTACAAAAGAAATATCAGTCAGTGGTATAAGACGTTGTTCATAAGTTATTAAACAGTGACGACAAAAGTGTCCAGAGTTGAAGTTTTTTTGAAATCCACCTAGCTCATTCGATGCTAGGTTGTCGCCACAAAGAAAAGAAAAAGAAAAATAAAGTCGACTAGAAATACAGGGTACTGTGATTCCTTGGGTTTGTAGTTGATTAAAATCTTGGATCAATACATTCATTAGTACATCTCTACTGTCCTTGTCTTTCAAATGCTTGGTATAAGCAATGCAATGAAGGCCAATTAAATTAACTTGTGATCGCAAAACATTGGGTAAATCGTCAAGCAAAAAATAAAAACACGTGAATTTATGCGAATCTTTCTTTGGACCAATAGGGTTTGTAATTCCTATTCCATCACTGTATAATTTCAATAGTAAAAAATCTGAATTTTTTCGATTAGAAGTATTTGATTTAATTGATCGACATTGCCGATTCGATAAAATCAAGTCGTTATCCTTATTTGATTGAATGATTAAGGACTGAGTATTGTTATTTATGGCATCAAGTAGTTCACCACTGTGAAGCAAATGAGATAAACTTATTTTCAGTGGAATGTAATAGGCATGATCTTCCGACGTATTTAATACAATTTCAATTGGGAGTTCATAGTTGAAATGCTTTTGGCACTGTTTCAAAAATGTATGTTCGTTTTTACTGATGGAAGTGATCAGTTTGTTCACGTGTGTAAAAATTGTTTCCAAATCAACAACGGTTAAAACAGATGCTGATTGTTTTGTTTTAATTAATTTAAGAATTACTTCAAGTAAATCACTGATATTAGACGAAATGAGCTGCACTACTTTTTGCGGAAGAAGATGATATTCACGCAGTTCAAGTAGAAAACGAGTATATAATTTAACCAGTATGTCGAAGCTGCATTTTTCATCAATAGTAGTAAAGGAAATCGGATCAAAATTATTAATTAAATCATCTGTTTCATCACATTCTTCGTCTCGATAAATAAAAGAGTCAGGATCCTCGATATGATCTGATTGATTATTAGCATCAGGCTGAATATATGAATCATTATTATCAATGTTTGATGGAATAACAGAATCACTGTCAAATGAATCAACCAGAGAACGATGAAAACAATAAATGTGGCATCGATAGCTATCAAACGATGAATAACAAGATCCACAACATACACTTAATTCACACCGAATACTGAAAGATGTGTCTAAATAATGCAGAGTAATTTCGGAAAACGTTGGCAGAAGAATAAAGAGGACAAAAATAATGCGTTTGAGACATGTTGATGTTTTGACGACAGAATATTTTGATTATGTATATGATATTATCAGATTTGACTATTTTAAAAAATAGTTTCAAACACTGAAGCGAATGTTTTCTGAAATTAAAAAAAGAGTAGCTAATGACTTCAAACACTTCCTGTTTAAAGAGAATTCAACAATTGGCAAACTAACATTCTTTATTCCCATCGTTAATATGATAGCAATATCTTGCATAAAAAAAAGTCGCAAAACCGATGGGTTCAATTGAAAGAAATGGAATGTTCTTTTGGAGAAAAATTGTTCAATTTAATTCGACAGAATTCTCGCCTAGATCGAATTGCTTACTCTACTTTTTTTCTCTAATTTCTAAAACGTTTATTGAATGACACCATTGTTTAACAATGATTATTGAGTTCGAAAAGAAAATGTTTTTCATCTGTGGTCTTCAACAGCGACTAAAAAAAACTTAAACAATTGCATAAGTAGAAGACTTATGTACTCTCTAGATATTCAGCTATGATTCAAGCTTTTATCAAGTACACAGATGTTACGAAAATTTAAGTGCATGAATAATAGTATATGATCTAGTAAATCATTTCAGATGACATCAACACTATAAAGTCATGATAAATATGCTTCTAGCATCAAACTCTTCATTTTATGATCCAACACACTATTATGTTTTCATAAAAATCAACTGTTTGTCATATTTAGACGTTACGAAATTTAAGTTGTTTTCTAAACTTAAAATAAAGTGAACTGTAACTCGGAAATAGCTAATGATTGTTTCATCAGTTATGAACGTTTTCAACCAAGAAACGATTTGAGAATTCGATAATTTTTCCATTGAAAAACCACGTATGCAAGCCAACTAAAAGAAAAAATATATGAATTAAGAGTCTTTTATTAAGAAGTCAAACCTAAGCACTCTTTGCAAAAGTCACTCTTGTTTACCAAATTTAATAGGTCGAAACGAAATAAAAGAGCAGTACAATGATAGAACCAAGGAAGTTTGTATTAGTCAGCCCGGTGGAATTTTTAAACAGAGAAATTTCAGCTAAATTGAAACGCATGATTTACCAACGCTAAACATCGGATTCATATTCGATTAGCTACTTACTAAGACGCTACTTCAACGGACAGTAAGGACATCTTCATACGAAACCAAGTGCACTGAAGTGAGAAAGCGTTATACTAATTTTCGTAGGTGCATGAAATAACCATTTAGATTCTTCAAGATATAAAGTAAAAGATTTGTGAAACGATGTATCTTCAAAAATTGAGAATTTTGTTTTCTTCGATCGCTTCCTTCAAAATCAAGTTGATCTTTTAATAATGAAATATCTATACTTGACACTAAAAATAGCTGATATATTTAGTATATTCTCTTTGTTTTGACATTTTATAAGTGTTTCATTTTATTCGAAAAAAAGTGTAACTTAAAGTAAACATCTACCTTGCAATTATATGCACCTCGTGATTTTGTATTCTACAAAGTGTTAGGACTTTGTGACCTGACTTATTATATTGTACACGTTATTGTTGAACTGCTAGCTAAATTCAATGCTTTGAATATTACTGTAATCCTTTTGTCGAACCAATACCTGCCACCGGTCTCTCGAAAAATTAATGTATTTTTCTCATTGCTTGTATTATTATAGGTAACTTTCGGACACTTTTATGGCGCTGCGCACATAGAAATTTTCTAATGAGGCATATGATATCGCTGGTATATTTATTCCTTTACAATCGACGAACCAATGTCAAGATTTTTGAGAGTCAAACATACAATGTGTCATTTTACTTAGTAACATATAAAACTAAATGCTACATCAAATTAAAAACTTTTTTTCTCACAACAATCTTAGATAGTGTTACTAATCATAAATGGGTGCCTATGAAAATCTCAAAGTCCGTGGACGATCTTCGAGAATATGAATGATGTTGTAGGACGCTTAAGAAACGTACAAATACTCAACGAATATACATATAGTCTTGACTGAAGCGTTTAATACCTCGAAATGATTCGCCAGTATATAAATCATGTCCCATGAAAAACATCGAACCATTCCAGAGGGCTAGAAAGTCATTAATGTTTTTTATCTCGAACCCACGAAACATTCACATAATCCATAATATCATGTACACTCAGATAAAGATGCTTTAAAAAACAAAGGTTATTCTGAAACTATCAAATGTTTAGAGAGAAGCACCCGAAACCGACAAAAAGCTATAGCGTGTGGAAACAGTTTCCGAGCCAATCCGCTAAAGAATCAGATTTTGTACTAAATCACATCTAGTTTTGCATGAAAATTACGAAACTTCTCAGCATCTTACTGAAATATTCAAGGTTTTGTGGAAATATTACAAAGTCTGAAGGTGTAGTTCTGTACTTTCGAAGGCTCAGTGAGTGAAGCACGAAACCTTGGTATACTTTTTGATTGTGCAAAAAGTTCCGTAAGTGGTCTACCAAACCATCGGATTTCACACTGAACCATACCTATTTTTGCATGAAAATTACGAAACTTTTGTTGCAATTACTAAACCATGTAGGGTTTCTTGAAAATTTCACGGTACCCTTCAAGGTTTCAGAGAGCGTCGACGGAACTTTTGAAGACTTTAGCGAAACTTCAGTGGGTTCCGTATGAAGGCTTCGGGACCATGATGCAATTACTGAACCTAAAAAGGTTTAGCAAAATAAATACGAAACGATTTTAGGTCTACTGAACCTAAAATAGTTCGGTGGAAAAATGCGAAACTTTAAGAGTTTGGTGGAGCACCTATTTTTTTTAGAGTGAAGCGATTGAAGAAGTACACACAAGTCAATGTTCGGCATGTAAAAATTATCTTCTTCTCGTTCTTTTTGTTGATTCTCTTGAGTCACGTGAATATTCTATTATTCGAATTTTTCTTTTCACTGGTCTTTTAGGTTTTACTGATGATGATTGTCGCATAAGGCTTTCATCATTATCTGTTGATATTGAAGTGGAAGATGTTGTGGATAAAGTTGAATTTGATCGAATGGTATCTGATTTGGTGATGCGACTTGTTAAGGCACATTATCTGATGTTATCAATGGTGGTGAATTATTTGTTGATGATGGTAATGCTGATTGAGTATTGCTTATCATTTTTTCAATGCAGGACATATATTATTTAAACCTTGAAGATGACGATAGAAATTCGACAATTGAAATTTTCCACGTCTTAATGGTAATGATGACCATTTTTGGCAACAGCATCTTATGTCGCATTTTAATGCACCATTTGAATCATTTTGTATTAAAATAAAATAATGTTCACCTTCAACTAAAGAAAATTTTTGAACATTTAATTTTGATTTGTTGTTTTCGCACCTGTTATTCAATGCATCAATAATATGTTTTTATTTTCAGCAACTGATGAATTGAAAGATACGGATATGGTTTTTTCTGTTGTACTATTTGATGTAACAGTCGACGCTGATTTTGGTATTGTTGATGATAATGATGACTGATTATGTTTTGAAGATTTAGCTAATTTGACATCCTCAATACATTTCTTTTTTAGCAAATCAATAAGATATTCGATATTTCCTTTTACTCCATGTTGTATAACAAATGCACCATCATCTTGCATATAACCATATTTAATCTTCAAATCATCTAGACTTTTACTTTTAACGTCCATAATAGCATAAACACTATTTGTCATCAGCAATGATTTCACACAATTAATACCTTGTATTTCAAGTAGAGTAGTAGCTGAATGGCTGGCTTCTTCCTTGGCAAAATCAATAAAATCATCATCACGCAATGCCATTATATTTGATGGTAATATCGAAATATCAATAAGAATATCGAGTTGAAACATGTTTGGATATTAATTATCTGAAAGAAAAACGTTTAATTATCTGTAAGCAAACATTTCACTCCTACTTGATATATGTTTATAAAAAGAAAATATAATAGATACCATCTTTAAATCATGAGTCACGGTTCAGGAACATCATCAGACAATAGTTTCTGAAGATATATCTCGATATATTGTTTTAAGCATTTCTCAATTTTTAGCGACATTCCACCTTTTACAATAATGTTTTTTTCTTTAGATTATCGATATATGATTCATCACAGCTGTTTATGAGGTAGAATTTTTTTAAATGTCCTAAATCTTAGTCTTCCAAGATATTCTACACTATACTATTATCCAACTTAATTTTTCTATTTTATCTAGATAAACGAAAAAACTCGTTATTTTTCTTCTTATGGATGATACAATGGCAGAAAATGCGTTTTCTTTAAAAAACGATGACTTTTATGGTTTTATTCACGGATTAGTTGGACAACAAATAGTGGACATTTTAAAGTTTCAATCAATAACATCTGCACAATCCTTAATCCGAAATCTGAATATTTTTGAAATATTTAATATGAAATGTTCGGAGCCTAGTTTCTTATTAATTAGAGAAAAATCATGTTTGCAACTTGACGATGGTCAATTTATTATAAAAATTGGGTTAATGAATAATCTAAATTATTTACTTGATCTTTTAAAACAACAGCAACAAAAGAAACTAATGGAAAATAGTTATATTGAAGCATATCCAAGTTTATCATTCGATTTTATCAATAAGCATCCATTGTTAAAAAGTTTGATC